TTGGCCTAGGAGAGCATTATAATTCTGTGGTCCCAGCATGATCAAATTGGGGGCATATATATTATCACAGGGATGCTTGTTTATCAAGTTGCCTTGTATCATTTTTCTTTTACAGCCAGGCATTTGGCTTTAGGTCTCTTGAAACCGCAGTTGTGATTTTGAAATGGCTATAACTGTACATTTCATTACTGTACTTTAATATTTTGTGGATGATTATGTGATGATCATGTAAATGCTCGAGGCATCTACCTAATGTGGAGCGCTTTAGTAATCTTCAAATGAAATGAGATTTGAATGACCTGTTGAATTGGCACTGTAGCTGTGCTGAATGAAGTCACCATTCATCAAGTTAAGGATTGTATGTATGTTGCTTTTATAAAAAGCAAAGCACACTGGAGTTTATTAAGGTATATTTCTCCTAATTGGCAGCTAAATTTGGTGGGTTTATTATCAACGAACTGATATTAACCACGTTGAAATTAAATAACTGGTGGTGTACTGTAGGTGTATTAATTTGTGATGATGAATTTTTTATTAAATCATTGATTAATAATATGTATTGAGGTATTTAGAAACTTTTTTTTGTTGACAATTTTAAACATATTCTACATTTCTGGGTGAAATGTAAGTTTTATTAAATTAACTAATGTGGGTTTTATTTGTTATTAAATTTCTCGGAGGTTTTATTCAAAAAATAGGGTGCTAAAAACATTGTATATGCTGATAGCATTTCACTTTGCATTGGTTAATCGATTAATAGCCAAATTATTTTCAACCAGAGAAACATGTTAGTCCATTAAACCAATGGACATGCTGTTAAACAAGAGGTGTAGAAGAAGCATATTCTTTAGAGCAATAGCTGAAATTAACGTATGGTGATTCACCGGTTATTATCTATCCCAAAGTTTACCACGTGAAAAAAATTAAAAAGAAAACAAACAAATTGTACTCAGATAAAGATTCCACTTACAGAATCCTGTGAAGTTGACATGCACATTGTACCGTTGTGATCAATGCAAATGATTTTACTGATCATAGATAATTTTAGATTGCCATGTAAAATGACCATATTTTTAATATGTTCAAAGAGTTAATCAAAGGAATATAAGCTCTTTGCATCTAGGAAAGGGTTAAAGTTGAAGCATATATCGTGGTCGGAACTATCGAAGAGAGATAATATCTAAGTTCCTTAATCTGTAATCCAGCACTGTATGCTGAAAACCGTCTTCGTATTCATTAGTTAATAGTCACGCTCGTCCACACCACAACTATTATATATTCTTATTCCCTTTATATCTTTGTCTCTATCTCAACAACTTTTGCCATATATTCGTCTTATCAAACCATACAGATGTAGACTTACAATATGGTTGAGGTGGTAACGATTGGAATAGAGGTGTCAGGTTTTAGTTGCGGGAATAACCCATCTATATGAACCAATGAAAAAAAAAATGATTGATGATCACCACTTTAGAAAATGCCGCCTTTGTGTAGAAACGTACATGGAGAAATTAATGCTTCATCGCAGGCTCTCTGGTTTCATAATTAAATGGAACAACAGAATAATTTGATGATATATCTTGGTATATATATATATATATAT